TATATATATATATATATATATTTGTAAACATGATAATTTTAAAGATTAATCAATGAAATTAAAGTTGAAGGTATTAGAAAAAAAAGTTTAAGGATTTAAGGGAGAAAAATTAAAATTGTGATATTTATTTGGAAATGAAATAAAGATTAAGGATCAGTTTGATGAAATTAAAGTTTAAGGTGTCTATATGTAAAAAGACTAAAATTTAGGTGGGTTGAATAAGATCTTTTCTCTTAAACTTTTGGTAATCATATTTGTGTATGTATTTAAATTAAGATTTAAATATATTTTTAATCTTTCAAATTTGAGTTCAATTTATTTTTGACTCTTCAAATTTAAAATTATATTTTAGTCCATGTAATTTGAAAGAAGAAAAAAACTTAATTCAATCACTTTACATATATGTTATTAGCGAGTTTGTCAAACAAAATCCAATTATTATGTAACTTATCATACAAAACCCACCTATTAATTCTCATTAATAAAAAAATCTCATTAAACATTGTTTTGCTACACAATTGTCTCTATCTATCTACATGTTAGTCATGTTTTGGTGGTTTTGACTTTTGAAAGATCAAAACAAACTTTGTTGAAATCACAGGAATTAAGATAATTAATTTTAAATTTAATAATTTTTTTGTTATAAAAAATTTAGATTCGGGTAAAACACAACCCCAATGCAAGTTAGCATTATAAAATATAAAGCACAAGAAAACTATATTTAATCCAAGATTCAAATCAGTAGGAGTAAAGATATTTAATCAACTACATCACTCTTGCGATGCTAAATTTAAAAGATTGTAAATAAACTAATCCAAAATTTGAGAGGTTAAAAATATATTTAAATCTTAAATTAATAATTTAGATACTTCTTAAGAAATTATTTTTTTAATTTATTTCTTAAAATTTCATCAAAATTTTAAAATATCTATATACAAAATACTTAATTTATATAATTAAAGTTCTCAAATGAATTCTCGAACTATAATTTGTTGAAAAAAAAATTATAAAGGCTTTTTTATTTCTCGAAATTCACACGATATCATT